GAACTTTGGGCTAGAAAAGCCATTGAGTGTTGAGAGTGAACCATTTTGTGGGAGCTTGGGAGATAAGAATTTTGAGAGCAGAGCAATGATAGAGGAATGGGTTGTAAAGTTTCAGAGAGATGTTTAAAGACTATCAGGGCCATTTGTTATTTTGATTTAAAATTCTGTGGTTCTGATCATTTGGGATTGGAAACTCAAGAGACCAACAATATTGAAGTGAAAACTTTGCATTACTGGGAAAACTGATGCTCTTTGATTGAGAAATTAGCAGTGATTAAGAAGAGACTAGAATAATTGAAATGAAATTTTCCAGAGTGCGTTTTTTTCAGTCAGCACACAAAAGCTGTCTTCCAGAGGTGGCCAAGGTTGTATCTCTTTCTGGTAGCCAAAATTTGTAGTGTAAGAGTTACTCAGATAGTACTGGTTTTGATAGCAGGACATGAAGAAGTCATGGGAACAGCTGAGGTTTGGCACTGTGGGAGTTCAAGAAAACTCACTGGTGAAGGTATAGCCAGGATAGTAGCTGAAGGCCCAGGAGTAAAGGCAGATAAATTGAGGCTTGACACCATGAGAGAGTCAAGAAGAGGGCATTGGTGAAAATGTAGCCCAATTGCAGCAGAGATCCCAATACTTTGAAGATGCTGGTACCATGGGATTAGTATTAGCTCCAAGAACAGCATCAAAGGCCACTGAAGCCACCTGAAGCACGGAAGACAAACTGTGTGTCAGTAAAGAGAGAAAGACCTTCCAGAGGTTTCAAGAAGATCAAGAGTGAATCCTATACTTTGGACCTAGAGCTATTTATATGTTGTTGGAGTTTGATTTTGCTTTGATCAGACTGTGACTGTGTAGTTTTTCCCTCTTGAAAAGTTTTTTTAACATGATTTTAGTTTTTTTAAAAATTTATTTATCAAAAATTTCCATCTCCTCCCCTCCTCCCATTTCCTTTCCACCCCACTCCCTCTCCTCCTCCCTCTCCAGTCCTAAGAGCAGTCAGGACAGAGAACATGAGCAAGAAAGTCAGGACCGCAAGGGGTGCATCCACTCACTGAGACAATGGGACTGATCTAATGGGAGTTCACCAAGGCCAGCTGGACTGGGACTGATGGAGCATGTGATCAAACTGGAATCTCCGAATGTGGCTGACGATGAGGGCTGACTGAGAAGCCAAGGACAATGGCACTGAGTTTTGATTCTACTGCATAGACTGGCCTTGTGGGAACCTAATCTGTTTGGATGCACCCGTTCCTAGACCTGGATGGAGGGGGAAGGACCTTGGACTTCCCACAGGGCAGGAAACCTACCCATGATATCTCTTCCATTTCCCCTTCCCAGAGAGATGTCATTGGCCCACCTTAAGCCCTCCTTGTCACCTAGCCTCTATGATGTGATTTTTGTGTCAAGTTGACAAGGTGTCAATTGTGCTGGAAAGTTTTATGTCAACTTGACCCAAGCCTTAGTTATCCGAAAAAAGAAAATCTAACAGAAAAAAATGTCTTCATAAGATCAAACTGTAGGCAAGTCTGTAGAGCATTTATTTATTTAGGGATTGATGGGGGAAGGGCCTAACCTATTGTAGGTGGTGCCATCCCAGACTTATGGTCCTGGGTTCTATAAGAAGCAAGCTGATCAAGCCATGGGCAGCAAGCCAGTAAGCAGGACCACTCCAATGCCTCTGTATCATCAACTCCTGCATCTAAGTCCCTGCCTTGTTAAAGTTCCTGTTCTGAATTCCCTCAAAGATAAACTATGATATAGAAGTATGAGCTAAAATTCCCTTCTTCTCCAACATGGTTTGGTTATGGTGTTTCATTACAACAATAGAAACCCTAATTATAACCATTCTCAACTTGACCACATGTGTTCCAGCAATCAAATTCAGAGCTCAGGTCATTAAAGTTTGGTGGTAGGCACCTTTACCTGCTGAGAAATTGCTCCCTGTGTGCTGTCTTTACAATAGTTATTTTACTTATTTTGTTTTCCAAGTACCTGGATTTTTTTTAAATATGGTATCTTTAGAAGTTTATACATTCTAAGGTCAGAAAAAACTAAGTTCTCTCTTGGACATTGTATATGCCTCCAATGAAAAAGAAAGACTATTTAAAAGGATAGCAATAATGAATAAATGATAAATTCAGCCAGCTGACCAACTTCAAGATGTGCAGGCCTCAGTGCAGAAACAAAACAAGACAAAAATCCAGGAAATGCTATCCTCCTGCAACCTTGGTAGAACTCTGAAACACAGCTTGCTCCAATACTGAGGGGACTTAAGAGTAGCAGGACACCCCACTCTATAGGATCTCCCCAATGGGACAAAACCCCCAGGCACCTTCCCCAATTCCCTCAGCTTTTCTAGCCATCCAGCAGGGAGTTTTCTGTGGTTAGGCTCTCCCAAAACCCAAACACATTCACTGGATCCCCCAAGCTACTAGCCACACTCTGCATAAGAGCTGAGAGCTTGCTATAATACTGATAGGGGCAAGAGCTTGCTACAACATTGAGGGTATTAAGAGAGAGCACCAAGAGAGCAAACCAGGAGAGAAGACTAATAGAGAGGCTTTTTGAGATAGACATTGACAGTACAGAGCAGACCAAGAAAAACTCCCAAACACTCAGACAGCCACAGCAAGGATTGGACCAATAAGCAAAGACACTGTTGGCCTCTTTTGAAGGAAGAGATGGGTAGGCTCCAATGCAAGAATTCATCCAACAGCCTAAAAAGCGACATAGTAACACTAGAACTCAGTGGTCACACAACAGGAAGACTTGATCATTTAAACCCAGAAGAAGTAGAAGAAAATGACTTTAAATGTAACTTTATGAAAATGATGGAGACTTTTAAAGAGTAAATGAAAAACTTCCTTAACGAAATGGAAGAGAAGACAAAAAAAAAATTAAATTAGCAAATCCCTCAAAGAAACCCAAGAAAAACAAGAAAAAGCAATAGAACAGGTGAAGGATACAGTTCAAGACTTGAAGACTGAAATAGAGGTAATAAAGACAATATAAATTGAGAGAATTCTGGATATGGAAAATATAGGTAAATGAACAGGAACTACAGAGAAAAGTATAACCAACAGAATAAAAGATATAGAAGAAAAAAATCTCAGGCACTGAAGATACTATAGAGGAAATAGACTTATTGGGCAGAGAAAACATTAAATCCAACAAAATCTTAGCATAAAATATTCAGGAAATCTGGGACACCATGAAAAGACCAAACCTAAGAATAATAGGGGTAGAAGAGGGAGAAGAACTCTAGCTCAAATGCACAGAAAATATATTCAACAAAATCTCTGCAGACAAAAAATCAAAGAAAACAAAATAATATACATAATACAGACCCTAAATGTATTTTTCATCTTTATATGACTTATTTTTCTTTACTCCTTTAATCTATGACTCTGTACTCTTTTATATTACTTTTAATATCTCTTTAAAGACTTTACTTCTTTTTATAACTGTCTATACTCCTTTTTGGGTATGTGTTCTATTCCTTCATTTCTGTTTCCTCTCTAGTTCTTAGAGAGTGTGGTGCCGTGTGTTGCCTGTGGGGAAAATCTTCTGGGATCCTGATAGGTATGGTCACTGGTGGATTCATGTAAAATGTGTTTCTTATATTAGGACCTTAGATTTTAAAATGGGAATGAGATATGGTGGTAGATGAACTTTGCAAGAGGTAGGAAAGCATAGTTTTAAACTAATAGCTGCTTAATTGGTCTCCTGGGAATTGGGGCAGGGTATGAAGAGAGGCCACAACTGAAGGTCTTATGTTGAGTTTGAGGTGAACCTGAGGGATTGGTCTTGGAGTATGGGTGGAGAGGTGGGATCTGAAGTTAGCCTCCCTGCTTCTCTATCTGGAGTGGCCTATGAGGTCAGGGATCTCCTTCTGGCGTTGGGGATGGGATAAAGCAACAAGTGGGGTAGGATGTTCTAGAATGGAAAGATCTGTAGAACCCACTGGAGATTGGGAGAAGCACAGACATGCAGTGTATTTTCCTTAAAAAAAACATTAATTCTCTTATTTATTAATTAATTAATTATTTATTTATTTCCACTTGAACTCTCAGTGATCTCCTTCCTGTTTGAAATATGGCCTCTTCCACATTAATTGTCTTCCCTTGAATGACACAGTGGGTTTGACTATTTAAGCCCACATGCATTGTAAATTATTGCAAGATCACAGATGAAGGAATTTTAGGAGAATTGTCACCTTACTTGTGGGAACATGAACAAAAGTGTCTCTTCCTTCCCCATTGTTTCTGTTGGAATGTGAACCTCCAACATAGGCTTATAGGTCTGAATATTGGTTCAAGAGCAGGTGGAAATCTTTGGGAAGCTTGTTGAACTTTTACAAGTTGAATTCTGGAGAGAAAAGTACATCACCAGGGCTAGTCCTTGAGATTGAACAGCTCAGCAGTAACTGAACACTTTCTGTTCTCTTTGGTTCCAGAATGTGACTGCTGTGTGACCAGCAGGTGCCTGATACAATGTCTGCCCTGCACTCTGTCTCTTGAGAACTGCAAGGCAAAAGAAACCATAGCTCCCCAAAGTTGGGTTTTCTCAGAGTTGTTTGCCAAAAACAGCAAGACAAATAGCTCAGACAAAAGTTAGCCATCACCATATATGAATTTTCAGTGGAAGGTGAAGCCTCATGATGACCCCCATTATTATGAATGATTCTCTACTCAAACTGTTAGTACCTGTAGTATAAACAGTAACAGCAATACAAAAAAACTATAGAAAAAGAAATAACACCTTGGTTGATTAATAAAGCCTCAAGAAATACTCTTTTATATTGGCAGAAATTATATGCTATATATTATACATATTACTGACAATGGTTCTTATTGTTTGCACAAGGCACAGTGGTTAGCCTAAAAACAAGACACACACAACAAATGGACTCAGTTTGTTCTATTTATATAAATTTGAGCATACATAAAAATAAACAAGTGAAAAGTGGACAGCAGGATGAGAGGTGAAAACCCAGGGGAGGGCTTGAGGGAAGGTAACTGGCAGGGGTTGGAGGAAGGGCAGGGAGGAGGGAAGGGATATTATGTGTCTTGACTAAAATCACTAAAGAAACAAAAGAAAATAAAACATCAGGTATATTTTGTGTTCTCATGTGATTGCCTGTCTTTGTATCTTTCTTCAATGACACATTTACAATGTAATGTGTCTTGCGTTATAAATCATATATGACACTACGTGCTGACGGAAGCCACGTATATAAAAGCTTCTTATCCAAAAGATCTTGTTACAAACAAAAATTAAAAGGTCATTCTGGGAAAAGAACTAAAGTCCTCTTAATTCATTTCTGTCCTGTTTTTCCAGGGAGACAGAGTGAGGCAGTGAAGATGGCCTTCACAAGGAAGCCATCAAAGAAACTGTACAGTAAGAGTCAGTACAGTTTCTAAATGTTCCTATACATCATGAAATTTAGGAATCTTTGCACGTCCCTTTGAATGCTGTTTCCCTTAAGGAGTGAAAGACAGTAGCAAGGAACTTTGGGTACTGGACAGCATCAGGATATTTATCCCACTGGAGATGAGCAACGGGATGAAATAGGAAGATTCTCCCCGTGCAAGGGTGACACACATGTCAAGGGTGCCTTTGGCTCAGTGAAGGGACATGTTTGTACTATTGCATAACCCTGCTGTCACTTACTTGCACTGGTCACCTTGAGGGCTTCCTTCACTGTAGAGGTCAGAGGGAACTTGCCCTGGTTACAGAAAGAGCCACTGAAGTCATCCATGCCAAGGGCCCAGATCATGGCACCTCCAAAATTGTTCTGCTGAGCCACTGGGCCTGGTTCAGGAGAGAGGGTAAGAGTCATTTTGATTCTTGCCACTTAATTTTGGGGCTTCTGTGCTTTCAAGGGAATGAACATACCTTGATAAGAAAGCTCTTGACATTGTCATAGCCAACCCACTCATTCCCTTGGTAGGCATAGGGCACTTCCTGAGAGCCTTCCCAGCTCTGAGTGGCTCCTTTTGTGAGGAAGGTACAAACCTTTAAAAAGACAAGAGATCAAATTTTTAAAATATTATGCTAAAAAAGAAAAATGTATTTTGTTTGGTATTTTTTGTGCCTCATTTTAAAATGAGTGTTATTTGTAATTAAAGACATTGAGTTACATTTTAAGTGGGGCTGATCAGTGAGGGAAAATTCTCTACAGCTAAACTATATCAAAGGTGAATTTTCTTTCTTTTTATTCTCTCTTTTGTTTACATTTTGTTTTTTTCCCATTTTTTGTTTTAGATACAGTCTAGGTCTGTATCACACAGTAAGTTTAAACTATCATCTCTCCTGCATTTTGGCCTGAAATATGTTTACAGGTGTGAGGCATCACAGTTATCTAAACTATTTAGTCACTAAGTAGTCACAACTTTTCCCCAAACCTTAGTAAATGGACCTAGTCATTTTCACCAAGAAAAGAGCTGGTTCACAGAGGAACACCCAGCTAGTGCTATCTTCAGATGCTCATCTAATGTTCAGATTTAAGCACTGGATTTAGAGAATCCACATAGTAATATACATTCTTTGATATAACTTTCCTCTGTGCTACTGCAGATACACATCAGTATGTGGTCTGTTACATGAAGAAACAGTATTTAATGTTAAGCACTGTATATTTGTATAACTGAAGAAGTATAAATTAAAACATTTTATAAATTTGGAAGGACATTTATTAGATCTAGTATGAACTGGACAGAATGAATATTCAGATTCAGCTGATTCCAATCTTCCACCCTCTGACACCTGGCTACAGCCCAGTTCTCAGCCTGAAACTGAAACAGCACAGGATGGCCAACCTACTGACCTCATAGTAGGCCAAGACCCCAGATTCCTGTGTGTAGGGACCTTCAGGGCCAGGGCTTGAGGTTGGGGCACCAATTCCATTGTTAGATGGGTCAGTCAGGGAGAAGGTCTGTGCATATGTTGCGAATCCAGCAATAAGCTTCTCAGCTGTAGCTCCATTTTTCACCCAGTACTTCATGATGTAATCCTGAAACACAGCAGGCAATTAAAACTCCCAGACAGCTGCTGAAGACCTGTGGCTGTATATGTTAACTTCCCAATAGCACAGATTCTGTGATTAAAATAATTTTAGAGGTTTTTCAAAAACATATATCTAAATTTATTGTTAATGATTTATGACCAGTAGTTTGAGAAGCTGTGTATGCTTCTAGATATTTATTGTATTAATTTACTCATCATTTAGGTTGTGTCTAGTATGGTCTGCATTGCATCTTTTCAGGAACATACCATATTAAGGAAGGCATTGGTGCCAGTGTCAGTTGGGGATTTGTACAGAGGACTGTTTTTTCCGGTGTATCCTTCCTTATAGTCATGAAGATTGTAGGTCATGACCAGGATGTAGTCCAAGAACCTTGAGGAAAAGAGACTCTTAAATAATTTCTGATGAATATTTTCCACACTCATTCAGGAAAAAGACATAATTTCCAAAACTTGTACGCAAAGCATTGGAGCAGCAAGACCCCTATGGGTTTGTGTCCTCTGACTTAATTCCAAGGGATGAAAAAAGAGTAAGAGGGACCACTTACTGGGATAGCTGGGGTATCTCATAGGCAGACTCAATGGTGGAAATGATACCAGCTACTGTAGCAGTGACCATCAGCCTTGGCTTCTTGCTTTCCAAGGATTCTTGCTGAAAGGCTTCGGACATTTCCTACAGAACATTTATGGATACTTCACATTCATTTTGCCTATTCACATGTATTATAGATGTATATACAATTGTATAATAATTAATAAAATGCTTTTAACATTTTGCCTCTTCTTAACATGATACTGTATCAAAAAAAACCTCATGATATATGACATTAAAAATTTGTCAGTTATCTAATAAACATGGATATTAGAAAATCTAACTATGCCCCACCTCAGTGTCTTATCCAGTCACCTACAATGTAGAGTCCATGTTTCTGGTCAGAGCTTCCCCAGCCATCAGTACTCTGCCTGAGAAATTTCACTAGCAGGCTTTCCTCACAGCCAATTTTCTCTGGTGGAAAAACCTGCTTCTACTTTCTCGGTAGCTGAACTATCTCATAAGGCCAAGATTTTATGGAATGAAATGTACAGTTGGCATAATACAAAGAGGAAGTTGGTAAAAAATGGTTCATAAGTATAATTAAGTTACAGAGAAAATCAACATGTGTTTAGGTCAGCTCTAATAAACAAATTATTTTGGTATGCAAATTATTTTCAACCAATTGCTACAGACATTGCTATTTAGATCAGTGGTCATTTGTCTAAGAATTTTTACAGGATGGATAGACCAAATAAAATGGGCTTACCACCTCACCTCAAATATTAAACCCCTATATATTGCATTATATGTGCATTGATTTTGTGTATTTCCAAGGGCAGATCGAGAAGCAAGGACTAGGAATCATAGCAGTGTCTGGAGGCATGGCTCCCTTGAAAACAGAGGAGCTGTGTTTGATGAGTAGTGCTATTAAATAAAGGCACATTGGAATCAAACCCGTGAATAACTCAATTTCTACCTCTGAGCCCTTCTCCTGGCCTCTCTGATTTTCATCCTGCCTCCTTCCAAAATCATGACTTTCCTCAGACATGGTACCTTAGTATGGTTTTCTTTTTTCTACTCTATAATTCCTGATTTTCCTGTGGTGTTTTCACCAACCAGATATCTGAGCTAACTGTGTTTATTTTTTCAAATGTCTTCCAAATACAGGGAAACTTATAAATCTTCTTATCCATAAGATTCCCTTTTATTTCTTTTCTCCTGAACACAGAAAAATGGAAAGACATTTGTCACACCTCTGTCCATGACAGTTTTAGGAACAGGCTGTTTGAAAAGCACTAACTCACAGCTCAGAGGATGCTGTTCATTCGTATCATTCCAAAATTAAACACGAGAAAGCCAGGGTATCCTTTTCAATATCTTCTACTTACTATTTAGGCTCTAGTGAAAGATTTAACTGAATTTCAAAATTCATGAAATGACATCTTTAACGCCCATGGTAATGTATTGAAATAACAGAACTCATATAGAATAGAACTAGCTTGTTTTCATATAAATGAACCAGAGACTCTGAACAAAGCACTTACGGGGCAGATCCAGTATTGCTGCCTCCAACAGCCAGGAGAGTTATCATCTCGTTGTTCCTTTAAAGAAAAAGTTAAAGATGAGAAATTTTATACTCTGTGGGTCTCTCTTTTTTAAAAATGTTCTGTTACCTGTACTAAGACTTGTATTAGTTGTTGTCTAACATAATCCATCATACTATAGTTTAATCACATTGCATGACATAAAGATTTATATATTTATATATAATATGTACATTATATTATTTATATATACATATAACAAACTAAATATATATTTTAATAAATGCAATTCAAGCCCTTTATGCTATAATCCAATTTTCAATTTGATTTTCTGGAAATAATAAACTGACAGGTATTTATATTCCTATAACAAAAAAGTTAAAATTAGCTTCTATTCTCTTCTACAACTAGTTTTGTTTAACTTTCAAATACTGTATACCATAGTAATGTGAAATGTTATCTAAGTCCTTGTCACCTGACAGCTGACTCCTGAGCCAAAAGGGTGAGTATCGTATGCAGTAATTTTTCTTGAAATAATGTCTTATGCAATACATAACAGAAAGCTGCCCTTCTGCATCACACCATATGCTAAAATTATTTGAAACTGAAATTATTGAGTAAATATTAGATGTGACTTTATCAAATGATTGCAATAAAGCATGTAGTAAGCTCCATAGCAGTGGCTGTGCATGATTTTTCTTGAAATGAAATAAAAACAAAGGCAACAAATTTAAAAATGTATACTAGGATTTAATCTGTAAGGCAAAGGTAAAAAAAAGAGGAACCATAATAATAAAGGATGAAGCTTGGAATGGAAGAAAACTTTTGTAAGCCATACATATAATAAAGGATTTTTATAATGATGTAAGGAACATTTGAGATCCAAGTTAGAGGAGGAAAGGTAGTCCCTTGTTGGAGCCCACAGAAGTGGGTCTGCTTCCCCTTGACTAAAGGTCAGAGAGTTTAAGTCTATTCTTGTTCCTTCAAGGTTATGACAGGAGGTTTGACCCAGGGTGTTGCTGCCTGTATGATATTTGGCCTAAGGTATGGTTGCTGCTTGTTCTGAGTAACAACAGAATACTTAACTCAGGATATAATTACTTGGTGTTTCAGGTACTGAAGAGGTAATTACTCTGTTTGTTGTTTGTATCATGCTAAAGAAGTCTTTTGCCTTCTTCCCCTCTTTTTGATTGGGGTATATAAACATATGGAAAATAAATGTGGGAGGATACAGTATTTACTGGGTTGCTCTCCCAACTCTATTCTGTGTCTGTTTGTCTATTTCTTTTGTATCTCCATTTTTTCTACCCCCTTTTCTTAATTTTCACATTTCCCTCTAAGTATGGAGTAATAAGCTGGGTGGGACCCAGCTGAACTCTGTCACCTGGATGCGGGATATGGCAGTCCCTCCCCATCTACCATTTGCAAACTCTTATGCTTTTCAGTCTGCTAGAGCTGCAGTTCCCATTCAAAGATTAGAACAGGCAAAGATTAGAAGGTCTGTTAGGCAGACCTTCAACACTCAAAACGTATAATCTTTCCTGTCTCCCATAGCCTGCTTGAGCTGCTTTTCTTGAGCCAGGTAAACTGAGAAAGTCAATCCCTCCAAATTCCATGTCTTTAACTCTGGAGAATGTGGAAGATTACCCACACTAGTGACCCAGCCCATGCCAGAACACAAAACACTTCATGCCTACTTGCAGTGGCTTCCCCCCACAACCCCATTTGTGCTTTCACATATTAAAAGTGATTTTCTGAATAGAACTCTGGCAACATAGCAAATCAGACCAATAATAGACAAATAAGATTGCAAGAAAGATTCTTCTATACGAAAAAGAAATTATTACTGAAATGAAAGGGCATTCCACTGAATGAGAGAAAACATTTGCTAGGCATCCATCACTTAGATGATTAGTGACTAGAAAAGTGGAAGAAAAAAGAACAAATCTTAAATTTGAAGAAAATCAAATAGGCTAATTAAGCAATGCAAAGGGATTGTTTATACATACAAAAAAGAATAACAAAGAACCAAGAAACACTTAAAGAAGTGATCAACATCCTTAGCCATCAGGAAATGTAGATGAAAACTGCTCCAAGCTAAGCAGTAGTGGTGCAAAGCTGATGGGGTAAACAACCCATATCTGATTTTATTTAGGGCCATGCTATTAGATGATATCAGTCCCCAACATTGATCAGGTGGCCAACAACCTGAGACCAGAAAGGTCTGAGACACAAGGGCAAACAAAATAGAACTGTTCTGCTAAAGGAATAAAGTCATAAGACAACTAATGACATTCTACTGTACTACAGGGAAGTGCCTTGATCAGTCATCATCAGAGAAGCTTCCTCATGCAGTAGATGGGAACAAATACAGAGACCCACAGCTCGGCAATGTGCCAATGTGCAAAGAGTGAGAGACCTTGGAATACTTAGTTCTAAGCAGGATGGCCTCATCAAGTCCTTCCCCTCCCAAACCCCCAGAATAGAGGGAGCCCTGAAGAAGAAAAGGCAGAAAGATTGTAAGAGGCAAAAGGGATCAAGGACACCAAGGAAGAATGTCCAATGTCCTCTAAACACAGCAGCACTAACAGACTGGCAGGATGCTCAGGGACTACACAGGTCTGCAACAGATGAGGTCTCAGAACTGAAAGGAGAGGTGGGCACAAGCCCCTTCCCTAGCCCAGAAACTACTGTCAATTGATAAATACTCCCAAATGAAGCTTTAGTGTTCTCCAATGGGGTCTCACTGGGGCTATACACTACTGTTAAAGATAGGCTCCTTTTGTGTATTTAAAGATATACAATAAATTCAGTGGTGTCTTTGGAGGTACTTTGTCTCATAATGTTTTGTCATGATATTTTCTTAACCTTACAGGTTCTTAGCATATATAGCATATGATGCCTGGTGGTTTTGTATTTTTACAGGGTTCTTATGTATAAGAATGCTAGTCGGGCGGTGGTGGCACAGGCCTTTAATCCCAGCACTCGGGAGGCAGAGGCAGGCGGATCTCTGTGAGTTCAAGGCCAGCCTGGTCTACAAGAGCTAGTTCCAGGACAGGAACCAAAAGCTACAGAGAAACCCTGTCTCGAAAAATCAAAAAAATAAAAAAATAAAAAAAGAATGCATGTATCTCTGTGTCTGTATTTGATTCTGTAGTTTTATCTTAGGCTCTTTTCCATTTGTTTGTTTTTTGTCTATTGTGGTTTGATTGTTTTTGATTTATCTTATTTTATTTTTCATTATTCCGTAGATGCTTGTTTAATATTTAACCAGAGATGGAAAGGGTGTGAATTCAGATGAGAGGCAAGGTAGACAGGATCTTGTAGGACTTTAGGTAGGGGAAACTACGCTCAGATTTAGTGTATGAAAAAAACCTCTATTTTCAATAAAAGAATTCAATATAATAGTCTGTCAAAAAATTCAGAATGACTACCATTAAATTATCAAAAGACAAAAATGATTGTTTTTATCTAGCACAATAAAGCAAATATGCACGCCTGGTGTGTATGTAAAATAGTGCAGTCAATTTAAAAGTCAGTCTGATGAGCACAACTTTTCTGTGAATGTGTCTAAAATAGTCTAGACTGTAGGGGAAACTCTGCCCAATGGGGGGCGTGTTCGCCTCGGGCTAATGTTTACATATAAATCTGGTGGTCTGCCGGCCTCTCTTTTTTTGTATCTCCTGCTCATCGCTGGATCCCTGATGGTGTAAGCTATTCCTTCATTAAAATTTGCTGTTTCATATTAAGCTAGCCTGGTTATTACGCCGCCTACACTAGACCTCACTGCAGAGGCACTTGCATGTCCCCTTTCCCTAAAACTCTATACTCAATAGCTACATAAAAGAATCCCTTCAAATTCCCTTCAAGTGACAAATGTATAAGTAACATATTGTACATTTTAGGTAGCTATAAAGAAAATGAAAACTTTGAAATTTTGCAGAAATCTATAAAAGTGAAAAATTACCAAGAGAAGCAACCTACGTAACATGATAAAAGTAACATGTTATCTTTTGCATGCTGATGTAACTGTTTATTTTCCTGGTGTTTACTATTAATACCTTAGGACACAAGAGAAGAGAAAGTGAATGATTTGGATAGTGGGTAAAGCCCGAGAACAGTGCCATGAAGGTTAAATGGCTGTGAAGAGGAATATACATGTGGAGTAAATCTTTCAGCAGGAAGATGGGTGAAACAGAGGAAAGGAAACAGAGGAAAGAGAACCAAGAAAAATGAAGTGCGTATGAGAAACCCACTGTGCAACCTCCTAATAGGAAATACAGTTAACCTTTGGGAGAGTAGGCACACAGAAAACCTACAAGATAAAGCAGCACCTGACTATAGGCAATGAGGCATTAAACAAAACCCATTTCAAGTGTGAGAACCTCTCTACAAGAGTCACTGATGAGAGAGGCCACAGAAGCTGCAGAATAGTCAAAGTTTTTGCCAATGTTCTTGGTCTCACTTATGAAACTATATGATGAGTCTATAAGGGTAGGTAAGAAAAGAAAGACTAGAAAATTGTTATAAGAAAACAAAAGGGGCTGGAGATATGACTCAATAGTTAGGAGCTCTGGATGCTCTTCCAGAGGTCCTGAGTTCAATCCCCAGCAACCACATGGTGGCTCACAACTATTCGTAATGAAATATGGTGCCTTCTTCTGACCTGCAGGCATACATGCAGTCAGAACACTGTTTACATAATAAATAAAAGGTGTTCTCTCTCCCTCCCTCTTTCTCCTAAAAAAAAAACACAAAAGAAAAATTAAATAAAGATGGATTCTAGAATACCAAATTGAGAAATTTATCATTGAAATGAGTGTGTATGGATACATGCCAACCATGTACTGAAACATTCCAGGACATGGACAGGATGCAAACGTTTGTTTTGTGTGGTAAATATATACAGTTTCAGTTAATACAAATGTAAAAAGATGGCATTGTCTGGGATCGCACATTTAAAAATTGCTTCTGAGCCACATTTTAGAAGAAGAGACACTATTGACATCAAACAAATAGTTTTCCCTTCTCTGACCTGTTTTTCAGGGTATGTAAAATTTGGTAGTCAGTCAAGTCACCCATTCTTCTTTGTGTGATTCTGTTGTTCTGAATCTCTGCAAAGGCATAGATGAGGTGAGAACACAGGCAAGGATCAATATCACCAACACTGAAACTGCCCAGTCCTGGCCTGTCCTGGGCCACATTGTTGTAGTAGCACATCAGCTGGTAGGAAGAACCTGTGGAATGTGAAGAGTAAGAACTACAGTATGCGGCAGGTGACAGTGGGGTCTGCTGACTTTTGTTCCTTCCTCTTCCCCTTCCTGTATCTCAGGTACCTTTTATCTCTGAGAACCAGATTGTGTGAAGACTCTTGAGCATGAGTCCAAGGTTTCTAACTCATGCACCAGGCTCTCACTGAGTTTTGTTATTTAGAATTGGTAGAGGTCCATGTTCAAAGCTTGCATGAGCATAGGAGCTCATAAGAATTCATGCTCACTATTCCTGAGAAGCTCTACAGTTACCACTTCCTTAACACTCAGAGGGAAACACTGCTGAAGACAACACAGATGGCTGAACTAAGAGCCATTCCTTGATGATAACCCATCCCTTTCCCTGGGTGATTTATCTCCTCATACTGTTTTACAAGTACACTAATATGATGGTATAATGTAGGAGTCTCTTCTGTATGTGTGCTGCTTTCATTGGTTAATGAATAAAGAAAATGCCTTGGCCTAGTTGATAGGATGGAACTTAGGTAGGCGGAGGAAACAGAAATGAATGCTGGGAGGAAGAAGAGCAGAGTCAGAGAAGCCATGGATCCTCCACCTGAGACGGACGCTGGTTAGAATCTCCAGTAAGCCACTGCCACATGGTGATACACAGATTAATGGAGATGGGTTAAACTAATGTGTAAGAGTTAGCCAATAAGAAGTTAGAGCTAATGGCCAAGCAGTGTTTCTGTGTGGTTATTTTGGGTGTAAGCAAGTTGGGCAGCTGGGACAAACAAGTAGCCCCTTTTTCCTGCAACAATGGTATACTTTTAAAAGGACACACAATAAGCAGACATATGTTGTAAAAATAAATTTGATAACATAAGGCTTATGGGAGGAAAAGACTTTGTCAAGAAAATGAGGTAACATCACTAACTTACCCAGCTGGGCATTCAGCAGAAGTGCCAGACCTAGAGAGAGAGAGAACAAACATGGACTTAGAGGTAGCTGTTGGAATCCTTAGCCCTTCTGAGAAGTCTGGACAATTCTACTAGAAGTTGATCAATATTATATAAATAAATCTTCACATCTGTACCAAGGGTGACCTTTTTAATTAACGTACATACATTTTCCTCTACTCTTTATGAATTCACAAAACATGCAAAGACACTCCTTTTTCTCCTTCTGTGTCAAAATTGAAGATAATTTTCAGAAATCAACTGTCTATACTAGCAACACCATCTAAAATTTTACAAATTGGTTCTCTTCTGTGACTCAACATTCAGAAATACCTGGCCTTCCAGAACCCTTGTGATCCCAGACTTCCAAAACTTAAGGTATACTCAAGCATCAAGCAATACCCCCTCTAGATTTTTTTTGAGTCATCTTTGAAGACTTTTTCCCACAGTTAATATGATGCGAGGAGCAACATGCCTATTATGGGCTTCAAAAACAGTCCTTGAATTTTTTTAAATGGGTTTCACCTTTTATTTTGTTTTTGGCTTTTAACTGGCAATCTCACTCTTAGCTCAGACTTTCCTTCAACATTGAACCTCGTCACTCCTGACAGATGAATGGTAGACATCTGACATCACCATGCCATCAGACCACTTGTACTCTAAATCTCTTATTCATTGAGCTTAGGATCATTTGAATATATTCAGCATTTTAGCAAATTTTGTAAACAAATTTAGAGCAGCTGGTAGATTTTCAACGAAATGGCATAAACAACTACTGACACAATCTATTTGAATGCCCTAATCCATAAAAATTACACTTTTATGTCACCAAAACTAAAGCATGTTCAAGGACAAATGAGAAAGGCATTCTTCATTGTAAGGAGAAAAGAACACATGGCTAGCTCTAGCTCCTCCCAATCATTTTCATCTCTATAGAACTCTAGTTTCAAGACCCTAACAGATTCATAAGCACAACTCCAAAGTCAGGCAAGAGGTAAATCAAGAGAAGCAGAGAGAATGATTGGCTGCAGCAAGGAGAAAAGAGCACAAGCATTGCACATGAGTGAGACTTTCTGCTAGCCTGTGGCATTGATATCAAAGAAGAAGTGTCACAATAGCCCATGGTGGAAGAGCAGGAGAAATCCTGGTTAAAAAAGAAGAGAAATTAAATAAGAAAAGATAATCAATTTAATCATAGTAGTACTGTACTATGAAATATGCTCCTTGGTTGTCAGATCTTGAGGCAAAAAAAAAAAAAAACCCAGGCAAGATTGAGGCTCTAAATCTGATTACTAACTCACCTGTGACAAGAATGAGCCTTGCCATGGTGCCTTAAGGACTGCCCCAGCACAGCCTCCCCTGCCTTTTTATGCATTTGCGAGCCTGCTTATCACAGATTTCAGATGAAAAGTAAACACTTTATGAGTTTTTGTGTGGGTAATCAGTAAATCCAGAGATCTACATACTGACTCAGCTGCTTCAGCATCTCACCACCATTACCTCCTTACCTGCCCTTTATTGAAAAAATGTTATATCTCCTTGCATTATGCTGGATGAAATAGCCCTAGAAAAAAAATCATTCTATCAGTATCTTTTAAACAGGGTTCTTCCATATATCAGCTGATCAAACATAAAATTAAAGTTTTGTTGTGGAGATATTTCATATCTGGCATAAAATCAAATTCCTCTTGAAAGGCAAACAAAACAATTCTGCAGAATTTATTATCTACTTTCCACATTTTTCCTCCATGGAATTATTGCCATGGAAGTCAAGTACCCACTTGACATAATAAATTCTAAGGAAATCCTTAGAATCATAAGAACATACTTTAATCCTGCCACATTACTAAAGGTATTTATCAGCTGTAAAAGTTCCTTGGTGGAGTTTTGAGGGTCACTTATGTACACTATCATATCATCTGCAAATAACGAAAGTTTAACTTCTTCCTTTCCAATTCGAATCCCCTTGATCCCCTTATGTTGTCTTATTGCTATTGCTAGAACTTCAAGCACTATGTTGAAGAGGTATGGCGAGAGTGGGCAGCCTTGTCGTGTTCCTGAGTTTAGTG